GAAAATAGTCTTTATAAAGTTTTAATAATCCTTGTATATGAGGTTCATAACCAGCCCGCGTCTGTAACTCAACTCTGTTAATAATTGTACAATCGCAGCAATCATATAATGATTAATTAAAAATATAAATAGTTAATGATAAATGCATATAATGTGAATCAAGCAATTACAATTTGCGTATTCGATACGACTTCACGTGCTCCCTTCGCGTCATGAGATATAAGAGATGACATAGAATCGGCCTATGTAAAGGGAACGCTATCGTATGTTGTTTCATTTATTATAAACAATGATAATTATTATATGGAGTTACCTTAAGGTAGCATATTCCAAATAATGAAAAATAACGCCATAAAGTCTATAAATTTTTGAATGGTCCTCTATAAAACCATAAACCAATACAACCCAACGAAGCAAAAGCGCCTTGTAAATTAGAATGCATTTGAGTCAATAGACTGTCGATAATTGAACATTTGCTTTCAATAGATGGACAACAAAAAAAACCTGTATACTATATTTCATATTTCTATTTCCAAGATTCCCAAAAATTTTTATCGCAGACATTTCAGATACTTTTCTACGTGGTACGAGAAGCTTGATTAGTTTCCTAACGTCAGAATCGTCTATTAAAAGCCAGTAATAAACTTGATAAGCTTATATGTTCTTAGAACCACCAAAATCATTCGCCTTATTAACACAACTAAGACTTACCAAGTTTTCCCTTTATAATAAATTCCAAAAGCTCAGCTATTTGCGTGTCTTCAAGGCCATACCATTGAACAAGTGTTTCTAATTCATCAGCTTGGTTTTTTACAGTGATTTTACTGTCTTTGTTCTTGATGATCGCATTCAAACTCATTATTAGAGGTTGGATCCTTTGAATATCCATCATAATGGTTATTCAATAAATTTTTACGGATTTACTGATAACATTAAATTTTATATGAATACGCGTAAGAGAATTCAAAAATTTACGCGATTTAGTGTAACGTGACACGATCATGTTACATAACTAGTGATTTAAGCCATAAGGTTTTAGTCGGCTGGCTAAGCCAGCCGACTAAGATATCGGCTAATCGGCTAGCTAATAGCTATACTTCTGGAAATTTTCCGTAAACTTTTCAAAAATTTTGCTTATATTTTATGCTTACTTTTTAGAATTTACCAGAATCCACTATATACTAATTTTTAGCTACATTAGCCAGCTAAACATATTACATTGGCTGGCTTAGCCAGCTAAGCTGGCTTAGCCGCGGCTGCCTTAGCCGGCTTAAATCACTAAACACAGTACCTGGCCCAACATGTTACCTTACACATAACCTTATAGCATATAGTCTCTTGTACTACCTATATTGACCTTACTAGCTTAACATTATACAAAAATTTTTTTACTCTATTTAAAAGCCCTTTTTTAGCCAAATCATAATTTATTATTTTTTAAACCTGATTTATTATTACCAAACATATTTTTCAAACAAATTTCTTCTATAACTTGCTAAATTCAAAA